TTCCGTTTAAACGCAAACACGATAAATTTGGACTGAACGTAAATGGAAGGAATGAGCCGAGTCCTACCTTTTTATTCTACTAATAACGAGATACACTAAAATATTCATTACGATTAAAACCGTAACTTACGGCATCACCAAAAATTACGTCACATAAATAGCAAATATTTTCTAATATATATTTAAGTTTTTCAACATAATCTAAGAGTGATGCATTTAAAATAAAAAAGACAAATATTTTTTAGCAATTAATGAAGCAACCAATATTACGGCAAAGGCGTAATAAAACGGCACACACTCAGTAATAATAATACAAAAAAGATCTATATTGTGAATAATTATTTATAATCCTTGCGTAGTAAGTACATTTACAAAGTATAAGGATAAACCTTTTAGGATACTTTTATCTCTTAATACTCGCGATACATCCCACAAAATTTCATCTAAACCATTGAATAACAAATTTTAAACAAACTTACCAATCATCCTATCTCACTGACGACGTCAGGAAATGGATTTTAAACGACTTTCAAAGTTTATTTTATCATGAAAAGTCAAGAAAACAAGTCACGAACTTTATGTTATAAACGTTATTCAAACTGAAGATTCAAGAATTAATAAAGAATACTTTGAAACATAAAACAAAACGGAAATAGTAAAAAATAATTCAGAACCTAAAATGATACGAGTTAGGATAAGTACCATACACTTTGAAGGTCCCGACACGACTAAACCTACCCGGGGTTTCTCTTTCAGATTTCCCGCTCCTACGGGGGTGGAATTTTCATGACACAGAGCTTTCGCAGTTTCATACTTTCTAAGCGCCATCTATGTAAAAATGTCTTAAATTCATAACCTGCTTTCTCAATTTTCCTGGTAAATAAGAGCCATCTATGTAAAATTTGTGCAACTGTTTCCGACGACACATAACTTTATTTTCACTTACTGCATTATACTAGATGGCGCAACTGACTAATAAAACGTTTTATAATATAATTTTATTAATATTAAAAATGTTGTTTATTATGTATGTGGAAAAATGAACATAACAATTTAATATATGTATTATATTTCTAACAAAACTACATCCGTTTCACGTTTCTTAGTAGTGAAATTAAAAACTTCGGATAAACTGTAAACTACCCACCTCTTTTCTGCTAATGTTTTTTGAGTCTGCCTGCTATCTAAAAAGACCATTATTATTAAACTTTTTGTTTGCCTTATCATTATATTGAGGTTTTGGATTTTTAAACATCAACTACATACATCCATTTCGAAGTTTTTAATCATCATTTTTTGTTAGATATCGCAACTGATATTATGATTTTTTATTACGTTTCACAACATTTACTTATGTAATGTTTTTATAAGTTAAAAACAAGTTACTTTCACCAATATACTTTAATTGGAGTTCCTGTAATGATAAAAAAAAATCGATCGGTATATTATAAAGGTAAGACGTGAAGACCAGTAGGAATGGCGATGAATACGGTAAATTGGACCGCCACCATGCAATTATTGCGGCAATGTTCAGATATATCTTACTAATATTATAAATGCAAATGTTTGTATGGATGTTTGGAAGTCTGTTAGAAGGTATCCCCAGAACGCCTGCATGTATCTCGCTGAAATTTTGCTTACATTCAGAACATATTCTCGAAAAACCCATAGGCTACTTATTTTTTTTTAATTCCGCAACGACGGAGTCGAGGGCAACAGCTAGTATTTACATATACGGAAGTTGAACCTGAAATTCTTAAAAATCTGAGTCACGAGCATTTTGCATTCTGTGTCTGAGTTGCGTCCCGCAATCTTTACACCTTTTACTGTCATAAGACCGGTCTTGCTAATAAAAAAAATTACTCGTCCATGCTTATAATACACTTTTTTTAACGTAATTCAAACGGAGAATGATTCAACTTTTCTGGTGAGATTTAAGCAAAGATGTTATCGACGCGCCTGCAAAAGCTTCTTGTAAAGGCACCTATTATGTAGTCTGTTGATAAAATGGCTAGTAATATTGTGAAAATTCAATGTTTACAAAGTAACGGTGACACACGTATAGTTAGCACCCGGCGCATAGAGGGGTCAGTGGGCAAGGAGCGACGTCACGTGATCTAGTCGTTTGTACTACGCAGATTGTTTGTAAACAAATCTCCGACAACGCCGGGATGTAAACACTTACAATGCAGGGTTAAATTTAATTCATAACATAACCGAAGCCGACTTCATTCACCGTCGTCGATTGTTTATTTATGAGTTTAGACTGTGATGCAGTTCTTATTATGTGTTATACTTGAATAATATTTTTACCTTTTTAATTTAAAGTGGAAGAGAAAACGTCAAAAAATAAGGACTAACTTAATCTCATTTAAAAATCTCAACGTTTAAATCGTCAAGAATGTTTGTCATAAATGTATTGCATTTCAACAATTATAAAAGTTTTGTAAACGTAGCTTACGTCTTCTTTTATCTTAATTTATTTCTTTTACTATATTTTTATTATCATTTTGAATGAATAAAATGAATGAATATATGCACTAAAGTATTATTTTGTTCTATAATGAACGTCGACAATAAGACCTCGAGACAGATGATAAATGTAAAGAGAATCGTTGCTTTTTCCAAGTATAATTTCTGAAATAATCACGTTTGTTGTGACGGCGCGGGCGTGCATGTCTTGTGAGCAACACGCATATTGACCTTACTTTGATATCAATGCATAAATGTATGTATGGGGATAAAAGGGGTGACTTGAACGATTTCAGGGTAAACAATTACCTCATTATAATAAGCTATGGCGTGCTCTGCTTGTTTTTGATAGTGTTGTAACACTGAACCATAGAATTAAAAAAAATTAAAACCGTTAACTAACTAACTAACTGTGAGTTTCTAAAACCAAAAATCCCCCTATAGCCTACCGTACCCGTATAATAACGTATAATGTGTATACATCATCATCAGCTCACTATACGTCCCCACCGAGGGGCTCGGAGCCTACCCTAAGTTAAGGGTTTTAGGCTATAGTCAACTACGTTGGCCAAGTGCGGGTTGGTTGACTTCACACATATCTATGAATTTCTTCACAGATATGTGCAGGTTGCATCACGATGTTTTTCTTCACCGTAAGAACTAATGTACATATGTAAATCAGAAATCGAAAAACACATTGGTACATGGCGGGATTCGAACCCAGGACTTGCAGATTGCAAGTCAAGTGCTTGACCCTTGAGCCACCGACACTCTTACTGTGTATACACTATTACCGTTTTATCGTTGAATTAAGGGCCACGCTGTATATATAGATTATTTCGACGTCTTTTAATACATCACCTCTAATATAACGCACAGTTATATTTTGTCCCATTCACGTCTAAAGTCAGTACGTCAGTTAAAAGCAATTAAACGCTATATGATTAGCTCAACCCACGTAACACGAGTCATGCGGTCATGTTTCATATAAAGAATTCAGACACGGCAAAAGAAGTGCTATATAATACAGTTGTTTAGTTGAATGTGGATACAAAGTAATCGATGTAGGTTTTTGTTGTAGAAGAGAAACAATGAAGCAGTCACCTGTATTCGCCAAAATAGTAAAGTGGCCGCTATCTATAGACATCTGCTTTAGGTTAAGAAGTTGCAGATGTGTTGCCTTTAATGGAGGATTGCAGGCGGACGTTCAGAAAGAGAATATTTCTCATATCCCCTCTCCTGTCAAACTCTCTTCCTCTGCTGATGCCTTTCTTATAAGAAAAGGACAGGTATTAGAATAGTGCTAAAATTTAGCCTCTAGCAAAACCTCATCAGACAAAACAAGGCATTGTTTGCATTTGATACTTATTTTCTATGTGGTCCTGGTATCGCACTGATCGAGTGGGCCATTACTGTGGCAATTAATGTGTCTCGGACTCTACCACTATGAATATAACTGATATCATTTTCATTTAGACCTATCGAGCCTTTTTGGAGTTAAACAGTAAGAAACATACATATTACCTTCATTCATTAAAAAAACTTTCAATATTTTTAAGGTGTTGCAACACTAGAAAATAATAATAAAATAAAAAGCTCACTTTTTCTGTCACAGCGCGTTGAGATTCTTTGCTAAGGCTAGAACTAAATTATGCACAGTGGTAACACTTGGCGGTTTCTTTCAGATAATAATCTTTATTACATTATAAAGTATGAGAAAACATTCTTTATAAAATCAGACTTAATAGTTGTTATATATTTTCTTTTTTAATTTTTCACATTCGCTTGTATTGTAATTCCCTGTATTCTCTTTGAAAAGAAAAGGCATAAATTAGGTACAGGTATTGTTAAAAAAATTACAGGTCACGAAAAACAAATTTTAAAATACAAAATATTTAAAATAATAAATGGAAAACCTTGTGAAAAACTCTTCTTTTTGTCAACGAACTATCAACATATTTGTTTATTACTGGACATACGTTTTTCAATGTTAAAAAAATTATCTAGCCCTTTGGGAAAAGCTGACGTTCACGTATTTTCCATTAGGTTAAGCTCGTTAATTCCTTGTGTAGTCTGGAATTACCGTTTCTGTATTTATTAGCCCAGTGTGCATTTTAAGTCAAAACATGTGAAGGAAAATCTCAATTCCGTTATATCATTTGATACTCTCGTTACACGAATTTTAACATTGAACATGATAGGTATCTATTACGTATTATAATTTAAGCAGAAAGTTCAAGATCATTAATTACGGTGATCTGTTCTTGCAGCGACCGGCGACGTCCTATGCGCGTGTAGTGTAGTGTACGTAGATACAATTCGCGCGCAAGGTTACGCGATGGGGGCCTAATATTACGCGCCGATAAACCGTGGAAAGAATTCCGTACTAAAACGAGCGGCGACGAGTGCGGACGAGATGGCTACCGAGAGCAGTCATCACACGACGACGCCACTTCTCGCCGTTCTATCGCCGCCCTCCCCCGCCTCCCGCGCCACACGCGCGTACCCTGCCGCCGCCGCGCCACGGAATTCGCACGCCCGCCGCCCGCCGAGCCCGCGAGCCGCGGTTCAGTGTACGTGCGACTGTCCGCGCTCGAAGACGACGTGCTGCGCCACGCGCACTTTACTTATTACGCAGTTACGAACTAAGACGACCGCGTGGACGCACCGTGTTCTCGCCCGCGCTCTTTTTATTCTATAACTTTTTTTTTATTCCTCGACGATCTAAGAACTAAGTGATAACCGGTATCGGTGCCGAAAACTAAGTGCGATCGAACTGGAATATACGCAGTGATCTCCGGAACTATAAGCGACGGTGACCATCGTAGGCCGGCGATACGCCGTATCGCGAGCCACGTTACAAGGTTATCGCGCCTCTAGCCCGCCAGTGATGAATTGGAAAATCGGCGCGTAAACGCTCACGTGGTGCGCGCCCCGCCCCCGCCTCGTTCCGCACTTATATTTAGCGAAAATCGCCTCTCGGGAGCGGCCCGACGGCAGATACGCTTGGTGCACGTCTCTGTTTATGAACGTTAACGAGACGACACATGTTATTGGCTGCGTATAACACAGCCGATAAGGAGAAGTTAGATAACCTCTCCGGGCCGCCGCTCGACTGCGACGACGTTCTGGAAATAGAAAGAAGTGCGACGTACGACGGCCGCGAGAGCGTTGTGATGGTAACGGGTGGTGTGCACGGGCGCCGGTGAGCGCGCTCTCGACACGCCCCTGCTAAACATTTCCACGACTACACAAGTAAACACCGAGGACATGTCGTTACCGGGCTGTAGTGGTTATCAGAGTCCATGGTCCTCGCAGACGGGGCTATCGGAGATCGAGGGTACGATGGGGGACTTGGAGCCTCTAGGAGAGCTCGCGGAGGTGGGCTTTGAACCACAGACGCGTGCGCGTTCCAACACGTGGCCGCTGCCCCGTCCTGAAAACTACGTGGACCCGGCAGAAGAATCCAGTTCGAAGAAAAATTCCAATCAGAACTTGACCGGTAAATAATTTTGTCACCTTTTTGATAGCAGGGTCATATCTTTGCGATACGTCGAGTTATTTAGGTCGTCCACGTAGTCAGATCGAATCATTGAATTCGTTCAAACAAAAAAAAACATCACTGTACCTACTTATGATCACAAATAAACAACGGAGGTCACTATGAATTGTTTACTTTTTGTGATAAGGATGACGCGAGTGTATACAGTATGTTCATGAAAACATTTAAAATACGTTAAAACATATTTGATCTGTTTAAAAGCAATAATTGCAATCGATTAAAACAAATTAACATTATATTCATCTGTAAATACCGAATATCTAACTTCTTACTTATATTACAAATGCAAATGTTTAGATGCTTGGATAGATGGATGTTTGTTTGAAGGTATCTCCGGAATGGTTCAACGGTTTTTGATGATATTTGGCACAGATGTAGAATATAGTCTGGAAGAACACATAGGCTACTTAATAAGTTGTTTTCAATTCTGCGGGGACGGAGCTGCAGGCGACAGCTAGTGGTTAATAATGAGCAAATGAGAACTCTTTTCTTGAAAATAAAACCGTTTAAAAATGAATGTTACTGCTTTTATTAGGAAAAATTCCAACATATTCATTGTATTTTTCCTATTCATTTGATTCTGAATGATATAAAATAGTGTAATACCGGTAGACGAATAACAAATAAGCGGCATGCATACGTATTACTTAACGTTGGGTGAATTAAAATACATGAGCGAAGTATCCATATCTTATGCATTCGCATATACAAACAAGACTGGCTTCTTATATCATATTGTTTGAAATTGAAATGTCATAGGAACATATCTACTTGAATTGCATTATTTCAAAAAGGTTCTTTAACACGTTTTTGTAATAAAACTTCAAGATTTTTATAAATAAAACTCGTTTTAATCTTGCATTACCTATCGAAGCAATAGCTATTTGAGTTGTCGTTTTAAATTTAAATATTTTTTTTTTATGCACAATTGGATACATATTGTGTTACTTTAAAAATACATTTAGACGCTGTTGAGAAACATGTTAACCCTTTGAGTGCCGGTGGTTATACAATATTGTGAACGTCAACATGTTTATAATATGCTTTCAGTATAAGTACTTTATTTATTTATCAAGATCGTAATTTGGATCCTACGCATATTAAAAAAAGGTTTATATATGTTTAAACTAAAATGTGTTTGGAGTACTTGCTAAGTTTTTTGATGGTAGTTATCAATATTTTGTTAACTTTCGTGGCCGGAAAATCTTTGTCTCGGCAGAATAAGTATTAAAAAAAAATGGAGATAAATGCGCCCATGACTTTTATATCTGGTAAATCAGTTAACATCATTTATCCAGTAAAAGGTACAAAGTCAATAAATAAGTTACTCATTTGTATCAAAGAACATTAAGTTAAACATTTAATTTTATTGCTAATAAAAATTATCATGACGTATTTCTTAATCACATTTTTAATATAAATTTTAACATAATAAGTTTACAATTACCGTAAAAAATGGATTTTAATTACAGTCCTCAAGTACAGTTTCAAGCTCTTATTTCTTTTTAATTTCACATGTATTAAGAAGCCGAAGCTGGGTACTTTCACTATTGTAGCAAGTGATATACATTTAAGAAAAAGTAAACTGGTTAATGAGCACTCGTTAACGGCCAAAGCGAGCAATATCAAGTACTGATCGGAAACTTTCTACATACCTCGTACCCCACACACCCCACCTCGTCCCGCGCCATCTTGATGTTTCGTAATAATCCTTCGAAAATCAACGTAGAATATGGCGACATCTACATGTTAATTTGAAAAATTAATAAACATGTAACATTTCGGTGAAAAATACGAATCGAATAACCCCTTCTCTTATCAAAATCGTTTTAACTGAGCACGGTCATAATGGAATTCGAAACCCACATTGAAACAGAGATCCCTCACCCCCCATAAAATAGATAAGGCTAATTGTTAGTTGACCTGAAATCTGTCAGAATATAACCTGGTAGTTCTGGTGTAAGAAAAATCAACAAACAGATCCTGTTAAAATATATTTTGTAATATGTACAATAACATTTTTTTTAATATAAAGCCCCTGTATATATGTCGTTTTGATGTCAGACAATCTCCATGAACCAACATATATTGGTTAAACTCGTATGGAAACCGCGTATTTTGTTTTATACTCCATCTCGTGTACCAACAAAAAATTGCTACCCGTTTGTAATTCGCCAAGGCATAGTGTAATAAGTCTATAAAGTGTAATCGAATTCATTCACACATTCCGACACTTTGTACACATTCATCAAAGTGCAAGCACAAATCTTAACATGACATTATAAACGCATATAGCAAATATTCTTTTTTTATAGTAGAAGGGGCAAACAAGCATCAGATTGCCTAAAATTATTTGATCCTACGCCGCAGATGCGTTATACACATTTGACCGCATACATCGGAGAGCGACTCGAATCGTCAAAGACCGAGTCTTTACCGATCGGCTTGATTCCCTGGCCTTGCGGAGGGACGTTCCCTCTGCATTTTTACCGCATTTACCATGGGGAGTGTTCCGAAGAACTGTTTGGAGCAATTCCTGCCGCCGAGTTCCGTCAACGGACGACACGACAGACCGCCAGGTTCCATCCACACCACCTGGATGGCTGGCATTCCACAACGGTGCGATTCTCGCGCAATTTCTTGCCTCGCACAGCCGTGTTGTGGAACGGTCTGTCCTCGGCGGTATTTCCAAACCAATACGACTTAGGGACCTTCAAGAAGCGAGCATACCATTTCCTTAAAGACCGGCAAAGCATCTGCAGTTCCTCTGTTGTTGCAGATGTCCATGGGTGTCGTTGATCACCTCGGTGCTTCCGCCGCTCATTTGCCCCCTTCTCTTATAAAAAAAACACGTTACGTACATTTACACAGTCTTGTATTATTAAGACTTTCGAGCTTAATTTGATTTAAAAACCGAAATGTTTGTAGACAAATCTTCCGATAATATGATGTAATTGTTAAACACACAGACACCACTAATAACCTAAAATTTCCTACAAATCAGCCTTGCTACACTTGACACCGTGATTGCGGTTACAATGAACGGGCATTGTACTCTGATTATAAATATATTTGGCTTAGTTGATATTTTTTATTACTGTATATTTTAATAAAAGTTGTTCGACGACAGTGGAGACTCACCTTTATTTATCAAAAGCGAAGCTTAATCAGAAAAAAAAACACATACGACACCAATAATCGATCTAGATGTGCTTATGTATCCGTATTAGGTATTTTTCATTATTAATTTTAATCCCTTTGCCTCCTACGTAACTGATCCTAGTATCACTCTACGTAGGGGTGATCCATATTTCAATCGCTGCAATATAAATAAATTAAATTGGTCTTCTCTGACATAATAAGTATAATCCTGCCGCTCGTTATCAAATATGAAAATATGACTATTAGTTCTTACTAGCGGTCGCACACGACTTCGTCAGTGCAGAGGGAAAATAAGTAGCCTAAACTATGCTCGCGAGTGGTGACACATCACTTGCACCTTCCAGTGAAAATCTTGTCGAAATCCGTCCACCCGTTTCGGAGATTACCCGTAAGAGCGGGTTAGAAGACACTCCAAATTTTTAGATATCATGTTTGCAAAATATGATTTTTTTTACATGTTACATATAGATTTTATTGGCCGATTGGGCTGACATGGCCCGAGACCAAACGCAGATCCCAAGATAGAGCGAACTGGCGGCGCCCTCTGCTCCACTACGGGGACATATAGATAGTCAGACATATAGATTTTACTTATATGTATAAAATTATAATTACAGGCGAAAAGACTAACAAAACAGTAATCCACGACTTGTTACCATTGGACAATAAATCTATTGTAGTTTGACTTGCATTTCAGTGGCTTTTGTTTTCTTCGCTGACAACTTGAACGCCACAGATCTTTCTCTGAAAATGAAAAAATCTTAGTCGAGAAATGTTTCTTATATCTGCTCTATATTTATTTGTATCTTATATAGGTAACAAACGAAAAACCTTGAAATAACATTGCGATTCATATGATAAGTACATGCACACGTTGATCGTTGCATTCGTGGGTCCAGTTGTTTTGCAGAAAACGATAAAAAACATTCACGAGATCCGTATATTATTTCCATAATCTTTACGTTCAAGGGCGTATATTAATAAAATTCTTGTGTCACGTTATTTTTGTAGTTTTGTACGTATTAAGAATATGTTTTACATTAAGTACCATCATATTAAAGCAATTAAATAAAGCATTTTAGATGCGCGTAGTTATTTCCCTAAAGAGTAAAGATTTTATATGAAAAAGTTCAATTAATAACTATATGTTTAGGAACCAAAATTAAAAAATATATATAAACTTTTGTCCGATCTTTCAGTAATTATAAACTCAGGTTATTACTGTTATAACTCAAAACTTGTTTTTTTTAAGCCGGTTAATACATCATTTATCTGCAATACTCTAATTAATTCGTTAAAAAAATATCTTAAGAACATGATGCCACACACAAGACCGGCGTGAAGTGGAAGCAATTCCGCGTTTCGTCTGATGAGTATGCGTCCCGGAGGAATAATTTAGTCCTGTTACCCTTCCCACCCATTTTCTCATAAGTAAAGGATGGGAAGTGGAAGTGGACTTTCCGGACCAGATGATGCATGGAAAGGGAAAATATTTTCTTTCTGTGCATCCTCTCCTCCGTCGATTAAAGGTAGGCAACGCATATGCAATTGCGTGTCTATGGGCAACGGTCACTTCGCTATTTCAGCGATTTCAGATTGCCGCTCGCTCGTTTGCCTCCTTATGATATAAAACAAAAGATATTATATAAAAGGCAAAATATCCAAAACAATTTTATCCCTTGAACTTTAAGTATAATCGTGACACAGTGGTATACTTTAAATTTATAATTTCGTAGCTATGTAGACAATGCAAGTCTAATAATGCACATAATTACTATTCTGTTTATTAACCTTGAAAATACAAAGAACATTACGTAATAGTAACGGTCCAATGAATTTTGAATTTGTCAAAAGAGCAAGCGGGTCAGCGATAAGTGACCACTTCCCAAAGACAAAGAGCTAATAAGTTGAACGTGAAGCTTACCTTTAATAGATCAAAAAGAGTAAATACAGAATAAGCCTATTGTCTATTCTTTTCCAACCACACCAGTCTCAAAAAAAATAGCAAAAAGTAATGCTCGTTTTATGTGAGTTTTGTCAGTTTACTGCTCGAACCAACATGACGTCAGATTTTTTGTAAGCTATACAACTGTTAAAATTATTTTATAAAAGTAACCAAACTAATGTAAATAATACATTGGTGAGTCCGTAATGAAATATAGTCGTTATTATGGAAATTTACATTGTTGTTTGTTTACCAGGTGCGCCTCCATTACCGACGCCGGTGGGCAAGAAGAATTCGTCCCGACGTAACGCATGGGGCAATCTCTCCTACGCGGACCTCATCACGCAGGCCATCACCTCCGCACAAGACAACAGACTTACCCTGTCACAGATCTACGAGTGGATGGTGCAGAATGTGCCATACTTTAAGGATAAGGGAGATAGTAACTCATCAGCTGGATGGAAGGTAGGTGGAAAAAGTTACCGTACCGGATGATTTTTTTTTCATTTTTTAGTACCTACTGTTTCATACAAAGTTAATAACATTCTGTATTTGCATTAAATTTTTATAAACGTCGAGAGACCAAGGAGGTTAAATATTGTAAATTTTCCACACACTGAAAGGATTTATTTTATCTATGTATGTGTCACTGGCAATCGCTCGTCTGTCCGCGCGAAATTAAAAAAAGTTATTGAGTAGCCTGTGTTCTTCCATGCTATGTTCTCTGGGTATGCCCAATTACATCAAGGTCCGTTGAGGCGTTCCAGAGATACTTCCTAACAAATATCCATCCATTCATTATAAATGGCATTGATAATATTAGTGAGATTTCCCGTATTCATTTATTTATCATATTTTTAATATAGTACATTTAATATCCAAAAATAAATATATAAAAAAAAACATATTATATTAAAAATAGAACACCACCGGCTGCGGAATCCCAACCAGTGGTCAGGGCTGCAGAGACAGAAACCTTCTCACGATGCGCGCGGTTTCTAGGATAACTGCCTTTTGTATCGGGCCCTTAATCCAACTGTTTAGCGAGAGCTTCTCGAGATGTCGGTCGAAGATCTTGGCTATCAGTCCATTCACCGATACGACTATCGGAATAATGGTAGTCGATTAGTGAGATTATTTTTTTTTTAAAGAGACCAAAAAATGCTTGACTACATCCAGTCTGGTTTTATTTAGCAACGTGATTAAAAGTACACACTAGTCTAGAATTAGCCATCTCTCTACCCACAAAGTAACCCACGACATAATAGATCGGAAATACTGACGCCGGCTATTACAATTCAGTTACCGTACGTACTTTAAACAAGAATTTAAATAGCTCCATTCGAAATTTTATTAACATTATATCATCGATGTTCATGAAAGACATGTACGTAAAGAATTATAGCAATACAAGCTATCGCCCGCGACCCCGTCCGCGCGGGTTTACAAGAGACTTAATAAGTAGCCATTGTGTTCTTAAAGATTATTTTCTACATCCATGTCAAATTTCATCGTGATCAGTCGAACCGTTCTGAAGATACCTTCAAACAAACATTTATCCATCCATTTCATCACTCACATTTATAATATTAGTAAGATTTAACAAAACGCGAGTACTTATTCAATGCATTGGAGTCACAATTGCCGTTTATTTACTTTATAATTAGTGGCTATCATGATTTGGAGACGATTGACGATTTATTGATAGATTTCTGCCAACTGCGCTTATTGCAGCCGATATCTCGAGTACAAATACAAATATTTGCGGTGCATTTTCTTACTCTATCAAAGTCTGATAATTTTCCGTCATTTTAAAATTATCAAATGATACTTCTGAAACTTCAAAAGAGGTTGTTTTTGTCAATGAAGCATATTGGATTTACAGACACGTGAATTTTCACTAATCATACTTCATACTAATGTTATAAATGCGAACGGATATTTGTTTGAATGGATTGCGATGAAATTTTACTTATGTATAGAATGTAATCCGGAACACATAGGCTACTAGTTGACTTTTTCATTTCCGTGCGGACAGAGTCGCGGGCAACAGCTAGTATACCTATTGTTTAAGAACTATAAACGCGTTTTTCTTTCTAAATAGTTATGTTTATAAACTTCAGATCTAGACCTTTATTTTAAATTCTTAGTGAAATTTATTTATTGGTGTAAAAATTATATTAAACATCATTATTGGTGATGAATCATTTGGCTATAGTCCATGTATCGTACGATATTGAACAGTGGCATCTCGCCATGTAACGTGGTATTTCATTTAATTGTCATATAAACAAAATAAGCGGTTCATAATTAACCTACGTATTGAAGGATGATTTTGATCTGATAAAATCGAATTAATTTTTCATGTCAAATGTAATTTGAAGAATGTAAAGGTAATTTGATATGTAACATTTTGGTTGCTTAGGTAGGATCAACAATTTGCTAGTTACATGAGCATAATCCTCACAACATTCAACAAACTGAAATTCGATATTATCTCTACAAATTTTACCTACTTTAGGGTAATCGAGATTGTTATTGGCCTTTTAAACTGTTGCAGTATTTTTATTTATTCCTTATATTTGTTAAAACATATAACCTCGAATTTGTCAAACCATGTTGTAACATATCGCTTGCTAGGTCAATATCCTCGTCAACTTCATACATAAAAATTATTAGCTGATTAAGCAAATTGCGTAACTAAAACGATGACAACGCGTCGTTTGCAGTTTACTCATATTCCATTGTCGTATGGACTGTTGCTTGTTTCCATAATTAATTTATAATTTTTCGCTGCATCTACGCGATTGATACGTTAGGAAGCTCGTGTGTGTCGTAATGGTATCGATTTCCTCATGTTTAAGGAAAGTCACAGGATGTGGATAGGCGATCGTATATTTGTTCGTATGTTAGTCGGGATACTTCATAATGTGTAGTTCGCAAATATATATCACTTAAAATTTTACATCTACTAGTTATTAGATTTACCACCACTTCACTATACGTAGCCTCTGAGGGGCAGCCTGCCCTCATTTAGAGGTGACTAAGACATAGTCAAACACGCTGGCCCAGTACGGATTGGTTGAACTTACATATCTTTGAATTTATTCGTATGTGCAGGTTGCATCATGACGTTTCCCTTCACCTTAAGAACGACGGATAAATGTACATATGTAAATCTAAAATCGAAACGTACATTGGTACATGGTAGAATTTGAACCTAAGACGTGCAGATTTCGAGTCAAGTTGCATAACCCCTGAGCCATATCGGTAAAGCCGTTCTTGAGTTATAAATAGTGTAACTAACACGACTTTCTTTATATATATAATACAAACGTGTACAAATTGTAAAAAATATAAGTTTTTTTCTTGTTCAAACCAAATATTAGGTATTGACTTCATTCAACAGTTTGTCAATATTTATTTTCGTTGTACAACAACATAGGAATGTCAGTTGCCTTGACTTCCTCGGATTGTAACCAAGAGAATATCATCAGCTGTTCCGGGGTTAGTGTTGCCAACATTACTATCGAACACCTATTTGTAACAAGTAAAATGTGATGTTTTTTTTCGCTGTAGAGTATAAATAAGATGGTGTAAACTCTTAACTAAATTATGAATATTTTTACTTGCGTTCATTTTAATTTGATAACGCAATGTTTTTATTTTTATACAGATTAATGCTTAATCTACTCTCTTATCATTAAGACACTTTTTTCTTCTATTTACAATGGCCAATTATCCCAATATGCGCAGCAGATTCGAATTTAAATAAAACGTAAGAAAAATCTCTTAAAAGATCCAAATGCGAAGTATTTTTTTACAATCTTTTTTTTGTCTTGTACTAATTAATGGGCTACAAATAGAGTAGTAGGCGGATTAATCAAACATCGTATTTCGTTCAAAACAACGCAATAGAATTCCAATATTTATTCTTTGAAGCCTAGTAATTTTAGTAGTAGGTACTGCGCAGTGTCACCACGTTATCTCACTGCGAGGCACCACGAGCGATATTAATGATAATAAAAACACTCAGAATAGGATGACCATTATTCACAAAATAAATGGACATTTTTATAACATTATTTTACATATTTGTTATCATTCTTATCTATGCAATGCAATGACGTAATTCACGACTCTAAGTCCGAGGATTAGACAGGTTACCGATTTCCATGTGGCGCCTACACAGGGTCGGCGTTGGAACAGGGCGCGGATGGACGATCGCCCAGGGCGCTGGACGGAAAGGGCCACAGGTCTGCGAATGACACAGTCTCACACAACCCTATATAGAGCTAATATCATTACTGCCTGCAAACCACTCTCGCCGCTTTAATGCAACCACGCATATTTGCACAGTTTCGGGCCTTAAAATTGCCCTTCTCTAGTATTGATTATACATCATTGTTTCTTTTTACTATAATCTGAAACACTAACCCTTGGTTTCTGAGATCACAATCTCTGTATAAAACATATCATCCTTGTCATTATCTCTGACAAAACACAGATATCAATTTGTTTTAAACGGGGTTTTTGTCTTAGAAACTCACGATAAGTGGTAGACAAGCGGTTCACTCATTTACTTACTTAGTTGAATAATATCAGTCACGAGTATACGTCTATAATCTAAATTTAATGTATGTAAAAGTCTTTTTTATTTTAATTTTCTGCGTAAAACATATAAGCACGCAAAATATCGTTGTATACAAAAGCGGATGCACACATACGTGTAGTTTTCAAGGTCCATCAGTCTTATGTTACATCAGTACCATATGGCGTTATTTTGTTCTTATAATTAACATTTAAGCCACCCAATACAGGTACACTTCGTAGGACCAGAATTTGTCAACATAATATTTTTAGATATATTTAGTCTTGATGCTGACGTCGGACGACGGCTTTGTACCATTGATGGAATATTTACGCATACAATATACATATTCAACGCTGGATATCTATATTTAATATTTAAAGACATTAGCATAAGGTCGTAATTCGCATGATTCATTTTTCACACACGAGCTCGGTCAATTAACATGTCCTCTGTTATACTCTCACACGAACGTTCAAGTTGAAGAACGAAAGAGATAGCTGCTCACCTAATTATTACCCGAATAAATTGTAAATAACTGACATGTGCTCTCTAATTTCAGCAATTGAACAGTATTTTTATATCTTCCTGGTTATAACTGTATGTACTGTATAATTTTTTACGAAAATGTATTTAGGACATGACTGATATTTTTGTAACATCATTTACCTGCATCATATTAACATTTTAGGACAGTTTTTTAACAATATTCTTATATCGTAAATATAATTTAAGGAAAAGATTATATCTAAAAATTTAAAATTCATAGAATGGCAAGATTTTAGAAAGTAATGCATAGCGAATTGTTAAAGACGTCAGGATTTCGTAAAGAATACTGGCAGGATTTTATTCTTTCGTTTGTTTTGTTACTTAT